GCCCAAGGCTAAGGAGGCGGGGCTTCAGCCCTATTTTGAAATTGCTCGTATGGCTCTCCAGCGCGTCGCACTGAAATATACTTGTGATATCTGCTATCTTAAAGGCCAAATGAACGCAATTCAAGCGTTTTTTCTCAAATACAGAAGTGCCCTATCTTCCCTTTAAGTAATTCGTGTCACTCTACTGATAATATAGTCGTTCCCAATGATACATTCCTGGCTCATGCCTCGACGATGTCAATGTTATCGCTCCCGTCATAAAGATGAAGAATCGCCCGAAGTCACCTGTCGTATGCTGCGATTGCTTCCGCGACACCCTCGTGAAGATGACCCTTCTAGCAGCTTGACTGAGCTTCATTTCTCTCATTGCTTGCTCCTTTTTTAGTGACTTCAGTAGCGCCAAGAGATTCGGTGAAGCGGAAAACTTACGTTGACCTTCAAAATCATATCCAGGGCACAATAAATACGAGATTAAAAATTGTCTATTGCTCATGCGCGATGAATAAGGCAAATATAGAAAGTTATCAACAATTACCTGTATCTCCAGTTTTTCGACACCTCGTCCCAGTGACGACTCGCCCTATGACAAATTGCCCTATGTAACGAACTTCCATGCTACGAGTAGCCTTATCACGAATTTTCCTTCGACGAACGGCCCGAATTCCGAGCTGGCACACGTCATGGCACGACCTGTGTTCAACCGCCATCTTTGCCCAAAAGTGGCAACCCCTATAGGTGGCTGGAATCGCGAACAATCTCTGACAGTTTAAATAACCGAAGGGGGCGTGGCGATTTCCGATCAGCTTAATGCCGCGCTGCAACCAATTAGGTTGCGGCATGAGCCGATAAGAACATAGAACCACAAATCACGGAGCAAGGGGAGTGAGCGTAACAAGCCACGCCTTGCGTGTCTTCGACTGTCATTGACTTTATAACCTAGAATGTTTTCTGTAATAATATTGAAAAGCTAATGAGCAATGACGAGTTAATACAATTTAACTTGTCTAGATGGCGTCCATAAAAAAACATCAAGTGGTTTATTGACCTCTGCGTCACTTATCGCCTACTCCACAAAATTGAAAGTGGTCATCATTAGTGACTAAAATGCGGCCTACGGGCACTACTAAATGGGGGAATAAACGAGTGCAGCGCGCACCTGTCGACTGGCTCGCCGAGAAAGTTGAACTTATATCTGCACGCAGATCTTAGTCCTGAAAAGTTCCATTTTGCTTGTTTTTCGAAGTGGTTGTGACCGAAACAACAAAACGAAAGGAAGATTGAAAGCCGTGGAAAGAGAAGAGGTCACCGATCATATATTTCGATTACACGTGTGGTTCGCACTGTAACCGGGGGCAGAATGTCTACCCACAGTTACAAAACTTTGATTACGACGCAGTTATTTACCTCTAAAACCTGTGACTGCGCGTCAACTTTCCCACACATCACCTGGTGTGCTAAGCACTGCAACCGCTCACAGAAAGGCGAGTGTTCAGCACAGTCACACCCTTGCTCTGTCAAGCTAACGGTGACAATCTCTAAAGTAAAAGGAGGCACGTATTTTTTTTCTCTCCAAATGTACGTTTTATTCGAAAGAAATCAAATAGGCGATCAATAATGATTTGCCATAATTCACATAACTGACAACTGATCGTATTGTTTCGAACTATCGGCGGTCAGTCTAAAAGATCTTGCAATATACTTTCCTACAATGCCAGTGTACAATCCGTCTTGCGAACGCAACTTTATCGTACTTTATTCGTTTACAAAATAAAAAAAGCTCCATCTACTTTTAGCGGGTGTCTCTTCGGCTACGCGTTGACAAAACTTTATAGAATAAAACAAACATGCCATCACTGAAAGAGAAACCGATCCGACCCGCACAGCCGGCGCACGGCGCATATCCCAAATGGGCAACGGCATAAACTTGTCGGCATTCTGAGGGCGTACTCGATATAAAACCTCTTACAGGCCTCGCTCATTTTCCTTTTCCCGCAGTGTTCGCCTTCCCCCCCCCCTCTCCCCCCCCCCCCTCCCCTCTTCGCCTCCACCACAATGCTGCATCGACTATCGAACGTAACGGATTCTTTCCGCGTCCTTTCTATATACCTTCGGCCTTGGTTCGTCGAGCTACGGCGGCAGCTTTTGTGTGTCCCTGTGAGAGACTTTTATTATTGGTTTTCTTCAACAAAAGCCTATCGACGTCGGCCGCTGGCACCGACCGTTGGCCGCGCGCGCTATGGCTTCCCGAGAGGACAAGTGCCCGCGTATATTGCCCGAAACGAGTATCCGAGAGAGACAAATAGACGTGGAAAGAACCGCTTCTACGTACGGCAGGAGGCGGAGAC